AAGACATACACGAACAGAGGTTTTATTGAAAGGGTTCTCAGTCTGACTTTGGGTTTGGTTTAACAGCAGCAGTGTACTGAATATAATCTAGCATTTGCCTTTTCATTTTTCTCACAGATACAGGCCTCCTGTTTGGTTGGCATGCTGGGCAGAGGGAGCGCATATGGCAAGTGAGCTCAGGAGAGGCCCAGTGGTTGAGTGGGGCTGGTGGTCATTGTTTATCAAAGAAAACAGCTATGGAGCATTTTAGTCACAGAGCCCTGGGTTCAAATAATCTGTTATGTAAGGTTTTAAGAAGTTTGTGATAGGAAAAGCACTTAGCATATACTAAATGCTCAATAAATGGTAGTTATCGATATTATAAACAAAATTCAGAGACTGTAACCTCTTATTTTCCTTTGTGATTTCTGACTAGTATAGTACAGGTTTTATATGTGCTAGGTAGTCAATAAATTATTAATCTAAAATTCTAAAATCTCGCTTAAATACTGCTAATGTAAATTATCAAAATATTTGTGAAAAACATAGTATATGAAAAAATTTCAATAACTAAGGCTTTCAGAGGAATAGTTTGTAGAAGCATTCTGTCTGAGTGCACTGACTTTGGAGGACCACAGAAACAGTCATCCTGGAGTTCAGTACCTGAATCTGACCTTGTGATAATCTGAGTTAAACAGAAAAGGATTCAGTATATTTTTTCAGTATATTTGTGTTATAAATTGTGTGAGGAGCTGAAAATAGAAATGATGGGGCCATGGGATGGCTGAGTCCTAGTACCAAGTGCAAAGACACAGAAGTGTGAACAGCATGCTAGATGGGGAGTGTAGGGGGACACTGAATGGTTGAAGGAGAAAACTGACTAGAAAAATTAGCCTTAAGTGCAATTTAGGAAAAAGAATTGGACTTTATCTTATAGGCTGCATGTGTGGGTTCAGGGGTGGGGAGAGGTGGGAGCTTGGAGGCTTTGAAGTAAGGAAATAGGATCATATTCACACTTCAGGGAAAGTCTCTGCTGTGGCTGTGGAGGAGGAGGAGCTGTGGGCTGGAGACAACTAGTCTGTGTGAGCAGAGGGCACAGAATAGTGCGATGATGGTGATTGGTGATCCTGGGGACAGGACAGGTGGGTTAGAGCTGCTGGATGAGAAGGTGTGATGGGGGTGGGGAAGAGGGAAGGCCGAGGCCTCTTGGGGCTGGCCTGCAAGTTTCTGGCTTAGGAGATGAAGCATTCTGTGTTGGACACTGAGTTCAGGTGGCTCGTTGAATGGTTAGTGGGAATGAAGGGTCAGTGGACATTGGGGCACCTGACTCTGAACCTGCAACAGTCTGGGCCAAGATGCCGCCAGGACAGCATCATTGATCTCGAGGTGGGAGGGGAAAGCACAGCTGTCTTCTGAGCTCCTGGGGAGAATGACTATTCTGGAGGTGAGACTGCACTGAGGACAGAGGCCCAGAAAGTGCCCATTTAAGGAATGAGCAACAGCAAGACTGTAGACCGGGAATTCCTGGTTAGGGAGCCAGGCGCTTATTCCATTCATCTGATGGCACGTGTTCTTGGCTAAAATGGAAGATGTTTTGGTTAAGTTCCAGTTTGTTCAACCAAAGCAGTATTATTTTGACATTTTTAGATAACTGGGTACAAAACTGTTTTATTAGTACTATACCATGTTCATCCTCTTGTTTATTTTTTTCTATTTTTATTTCCACAATAGGCATACCATTTTCTTAACTTTGTCCTTGAAATGAAGTCACATATAAAATCCATTGAGTTACACAGCTATGTTTATAATATAAATGTTCTTTTTCTTTCTTTTCCCATATTTTTTCTATTACCCAAATATTTTACATTTTTAAATGTATTTTTAATTATAGTTGACATGCGATATTATATTCGTTTCAGGTGTACAACACAGTGATTAGACATTTATATACTTTACAAAGTGATTACCACCATAAATCTAGTAACCATCTGTCACCATGCAGTTATTACGATATTATTAGCTATATTCCCTGTGCTATATGTACTTTAATCCTCGTGACATTTTATAATTGGAAGTTTGTACTTCTTAATTCCCTTCCCTTTTTCTCCCAACCACTCACTCTCCATTTGGCAGCCATTACTTAGTTCTCTATATCCATGAGTTTGTTTCTGTTTCAGTTCGTTTACTTTGTTTTGTGTTTGAGATTCCACATATAAGTGAAATCATACAGTATTTGTTGTTGTCTAGCCTTTCTCTAGCCTAGTCTTATTTCACTTAACATAATACTCAGAGTCCATCCATGTTGTCGCAAATGACAAGATTTCATTCTTTTTATGGCCAAGTAACATTCCATTGTATGTGTGTACCAAATCTTTATCCTATCATCATTTGATAGACACATAGGTTGCTTCCATTTCTTGGCTAATGTAAATGCTTCAGTGAACATACGGGCGCATATAACTTTTTGAATTTGTGTTTAAGTTTTCTTTGGATAAATACCCAAAAGTAGAATTGCTGGGTTATATAGTAGTTCTATTTTTAATTTTATGAGGACCCTCCCTACTGTTTTCCATAGTGACTACACCTATTTACAGCCCCAGCAACAGTACACAAGGGTTCTCTTCTCTCCACATCCTCGCCAAAACTTAGTTGTCGTCTTTTTGATAATAGCTAACATGACAGGTATGAGATGATATTTCATTTTGGTTTTCATTTGCATTTCCCTGAAGATTATGGATGTTGAGCACATTTTCACATGTCTGTTGGCCATTCGTGTATCTTCTTTTTTAATTAAAAATTTTTTTTCAATTACAGTTGATCTATACTATTAGTTTCAGGTGTACAGCATAGTAATTAGACATTTATATAACTTAGGATCACCCTGGTAAGCCTAGTATCCATCTTAACATCATACGTAGTCATTACAATATTATTGTCTATATTCTTTATACTGTACATTCCTGTGACTTTTTATTACTGCCAGTTTGTACTTCATAATCCTTTCCTTTTTTCACTCATCCCCCCCAACTACTCCCCATCCGGCAACCATCAAAATGTTCTCTGTATTTATGAGTTTCTGTTTTGTTTGTTCATTTATGTTTTTCAGATTTCACATATAAGTGAGATCACATGGTGTTTGTCTTTTTCTGATATGTTTCACTTAGTATAATACCCTCTAGGTCCTTTTATGTTGTCTCAAATGGCAAGAGTTCATTCTTTTTTATGGCTGAGTTAATATTCCATTGTATATATGTACCACATCTTCCTACCCATTTATCTGTCAATGGACACTTAGGTTGCTTCCATTTGAACATAGGGGTGCATATGTGTTTTCAAATTAGTGTTTGGGTTTCTACAGATGAATACCCAGAAGTGGAATTGCTCGGTTAATAAGGTAGTTCTATTTTTAATTTTTTGAGGAACCTTCATATTGTTTTTACAGTGGCTACACCAATTTACAATCTCACCAGCAGTGCACAAGCGTTCCCTTCCCCAACATCCTCACCAACATTTGTTATTTGTTGATTTGTTAATGATGGCCACTCTGACAGGAGTGAGGTGATACTTCATTGTGGTTTTAATTTGCCTTTCCCTGATGACTAGTGACTTTGAACATCTTCTCATATGTCTGCTGGCCATGTGTACGTCCTTTTTGGAGAACGGTCTGTTCAGGTTCTTTGCCCCTTTTTAAATTGGATTGTTTGTTTTTTGGTGATAAGTTGTCTGAGTTCCTTATATATTTTGGATATTAATCCTTTATCGGATGTATCATTGGAAAATATCTTCTCCCATCCAGTAGATTGTCTTTCCGTTTTGTTGGTGGTTTCCTTTGCTGTGATGGAGTCCTGTTTTTTCTTTTGTTTTTCTGCAGAAGAGACATAGCCAAAAAAATATTGCTGAGAGCTATGTCAGAGAGTTTACTACCTGTTTTCTTCTGGCGGTTTTATGGTTAGGGGTCTTACATTTAAGTCTTTAATCCATTGTGATTTTCTTCTTGTAGTGTAAGAAAGTTGTCTAGTTTCATTTTTTGCATGTGTCTGTCTAGTTTTCCCAGCACCATTTATTGAAGAGACTGTCTTTACCCCATTGTATATTCTCGTCTCCTTTGTCATAGATTAATTGACCATATAGATGCGTGTTTATTTCTGGACTCTCTATTCTGTTCCATTGATCTACGTGTCTGTGTTTGTGCCAGCACCATGCTGGTTTGATTACTACAGCATTGTAGTACAATGTGATGTCAGGGAGCCTGATACCTCTAACTTTGTTCTTTCTCAAGATTGCTCTGGCTATTTGGGGTCTTTTGTGGTTTCATATAAATTTTAGGATTATTTATTCTAGTTCTGTGAAAATGCCATTGGTATTTTGGTAGGGATTGCATTGAAACTGTAGATTGCTTTGGGTAATAGAGACATTTTAACTGTTAATTCTTCCTGTCCATAAGCACTGTAGATATTTCCATTTTCTGTTTCTTCAGCATCTTAGATAATTTTCCAAGTATAAGTCTTTTACCTCCCTGATTAAATATGTGCCTACGTATTTTATTCTTTTTGAGGC